CACCAGACGTTCTGAGTAGCTTTTAGTCATGCTGAGAGAGATTCATGGGATCTGATTGCCAAAACTAAGGCGTATTATACCCACCGCATGGATCCTTACAGTTCGAGGTGGAAGACAAAGGTAGTAATAATAATGTACATTACAATCGCAATAATGGCACACAATTAAATAATAGTTCATGGTTGCTGTAGTTGGCTGAAGAAGGCAGTGGCAGCTACTCTCTATAATTACCTATGAGTGCAGTAATAACAGCAGTACCAGGGGTTCATTGTTCTCAGAGGGATACTCACAGCGTTAGCAGACGGAGGAGGAGGTAGTGGCAGCCAGCGGCCAGCAGGGGGCTCATGCTTAGTGTTATTGTAAAGGTTAAAGTTCAAAGTGCTGCTGCGCCCCTGGCCGTGACCCCCGCCCTGACAGAGCATGCCCAGCGTGAGCGTGTTGTGCTTTAGGACACCACTCTGATTGGAGAAGACAACATCACATGACATGGGTGAATGTAAGGGGAGGGAGGCGGAGCCTACACAGCGGGCTGCAGCGTTTTGACAACACACTGTGAGCTCCACAAACAGATAAACAAACACTGATAGAACAACAACAACAACAACAACAACAACAGTGCAGAGTTGCTGAAAGCACAGAGAAATGTTAGCTAGTGACCAGTCAATACACACAGAGAACATTGTGTCATACAAGCAACAACTGGTGGATCAGTTCATTTCATCATTATCATGTAAGTTTTCAGATTAGTACCAGTTACCATTAGTAACATATGTGATTATATAAACAAACCATAAGCCCAATCCCTAACTGAAAACTGATCATTATAAGGTTGTCCAAATGTCAATGCCAACTTCTTTTTGCACCATGTGACAGGTTAGGTCGATCAATTGAAATAAACCATTTCAATTCAGCAAGTTTTTAGAAGCTGTTTTCATAACTGTGTTCTCTAGACCTCCTCCCTACTATGTCTGATTGTCCTGTCTGTAGAGGGACCGGTTCTAATTAAAGAATTAGTTTGACATTTTGAAAAATACGTTTATTCACTTCCTTGCTGAGAGTTAGATGAGCCGATTGATTGCACAATCATGTCTGTAAACGGTGAATATGAAGCTAGAGCCAGGAGAAATAAATACTGAAAACAGGTAACCTGGGTCTGTCTAAAGATAAAATAATATGCCTGCCAGCAGCTAAAAGCTCACTAATTAATACATTATATCATGTTTGTTCAATCTGTACAAAAACCTAAAAATGACAAGATAACCCTAACCCTAACCCTAACCCTTTAACAGGTGTTCATTTATTTATTTCTATATTGGGCTTATGACTTTCAGGAGTCTTGTCATTACTGCAAGGTTGCCTGGCAACCAGTGGAAACTCCAGGAAGTAACTGTGCTGACCAAGATATAGTTACAGCACACAACTACCCTCTTCTGATCTAACTTTAGGCAAACAAGTGAATAAGAGTACTTCCTAAAATGTTCATCTATTCCTTTAAACACACTACTGTTCCCTAGATTTGTATAATTACCATAATTACAGTGCTCTGCAAAACATCTTCATCCTTAACAAGTGATTGAACTGATTCTGAAGGTGCAAATATCAAACACCAAAAGATTCAAGAACTGACTCCGAATAAGGGCTGTATCTTAAATTAACAGAAGATTATTATATTTAGTTTTACATCAAAATCAATCTACTCCAACTATCTTGGTGACTTTTCCAGTAGTGCGTGTGCAGTCAGGCTGACAGAGCGACAGTGTGGATGGGACACACATGCAGCCAGACACATATCTGGTCAACCTTACAACACAGACTTACACAGATACAGACAGGGAGGGCCTCCGAATGCTTTGTGTGTGAGTGTGTATCTCCCTCTTCAGTGTTTCTGCATTGCACAGACGTACCCTGTCCAATCGTTTGGCCTCTATGTGCCTAAGTAGCTGTTGCCTCCAGTCGGCAGGCATCCTGGAGGTGATGTCTTCAGGTTTCTGTGGTACGACAGGTCTTACTTTGATGGTGTCATCAGATGGTTTCTCAGGGCAGGTTGCCAGAGTGTAGTCAGGGGGCATCTTCTCCAGCAGGGCGGCCATGGTGGGACGAGCTGACACTGGGCGGGCCTGAGGACCAAGGGTTAATAATTTATAAAGACGATAAAAAAATTAAGTTGTACTTGATAGTGATACAATTATGTTATTTAAACCTGCACAAGTTTTAGGGCCTGCAACCCTAATTGCAGTGCTTTCAGTGAAAAAGCTCTGATAAAACTACGTAAGCTGCTCTGTATAAACTGGCTGGTGAACAATGTGGAAACCAAAACAGAGCGAAATAAACAATACTGGACATTTATCAAGTGACCAGAAACCATAACTTCAAATGAGTGCTTTTGTTGCTCCGTATTTAATGGATGTGCGAAAAGGCAACTGTTTGCTAATATGTTTCAAAGGTTAAAGATGTCTTTAACATTAGCAACAACGCTAACATGCTGATGGTTAGCAGTTATAATGTTTACCATGTTCACGTCTTAATTTAGCATGTTAGCATGCTAACATTTGCTTTGACATGAAACAAAGTAAAGCTGAAGCTAATAGGAATTTCATTGGTTTCGCAAGTATTTAGTCATAAACCAAAGTAGGCTATGGGACAAATTGAAGTTTTGACAAGATGAGTGAAGAGTTCATGAAAGTCGTTTCCATATTTCAGCCTGGACTAATGGGGCCAGCTGCCTAATACTGTCATCCCTAGAGCCAAGTTGCTAGTGTGGCTAATAGCATATTATAGTATAGTATAGTATCCTGTGGTGTTGCAAGGCTTAAATGAGAATACCAGCCAGATAGACACAAAGACTGCAGTTTACAGACGATATGACGAGACGAGATGATGGAGCTGCATTGGCTAAAGACTGCAAGGATAAGTGTTTCTTGTTTCTTTCTTGGTCCCTTTCTCCTTCATAATGAAATATGCCAGATGAGGTGCTTTGCGCATCTAATCAGTATGCTCCTGGCCACCTCTCTGTGGCTATTTTTGGAAAGTCTGACTTGGGGCAAACCCAGAACATGCTGAAGGGATTATTTATGGACTTGGGAATGCCTTGGGATCTAGGGATATGGCTGAGGCGAAGGACACCTGTGCTACTCTGCTTAGTCTGCTGCTACAATGGGCTGCAGGTAATTGGTGGAAAATGGATACTGTAATGCCAAGTGGTGGTTTACTGATGTTATTAGACAGGGTGCAAATACCCGGTCTCCAGTGTCAAAGTTAAATGCTTTATAGCCCAATTCAGTCATCTAGGCCTTCCATGTGACTCATTGTTGAGCTATAAGAACATTACTTCTTGCCTTTTTTAACAAAAGCCTTTTCTGGACATGAAGCAATGCTCATCTCAAGTGTAGTGACTGTAATCCATAAATACATTTTAATACATTGATTTTTCCTTCTTTCTCTCTCTATCTCTCTCTTTATGTTGTTATGTCTTTGTCTCGTATTGACTTCAAGATTCAGGATTCAAGAGATTTAATATCATATGTACAGTATAAACACAAGGCTAGTACGCACAAT